TTGATTTTACAGCGGTTTGAAATTGCATTATAAGATTCGTTTGGGCATCCTGTGCTAAAAAGCTGAGCCTTGTTTGGGAGGCTTGGTGACGACTATGATGACGTAGTGTCCGGGACGCATTTCCATGTTTGATCGAGAAGACTATGATGCTTCATGTAAACAGTTGAATCTCGGCAAAACATAGTTCTACTCTTCTCTATTGCATTCAAAGCTCTCTGATGTTGGTTTGTTGACACTTCGGTTGTTCCGGACACTACGTCATCAAAACACTAGTGCCAATCAACCGCATCGCTCGGTTTTGTAATGATCAACTTTGAGAGCTCATAAAAAAATTGGATTTCGTCAAATCTTCACTTTTTTCAAACAGATACATCATTTAGCATATATGTTTTTAAGTAATAGTCCGAGCAAGAAGCAGGCAAGCAAACGGCAATGGAAATGCGTAAAGGTGCTAATTTTGTATTGTAGAATCCATCCATCTCATTGGTTAAAACATTAAAATTTGACATAATTTCAAAAGTAAGCGCATTTTTAAAATATTTTATTTAATATCTGATTCCGACTTCATAAAAGCTTTCCTTAGCTTTTTAATAGCAATTCTATGTGGGGAACATAGCAAATTAAAAGCATATTTTGGCTATTGTTTTGAGTGCTTATGATTGGACAAGCCCTTTTAATACAAAAGAAACTTTGTTTCAAAACAGAGTTTATTCACACTTTATTTTAAAAATCTGTTACCCATAGGTTGATATATAATCAGTGTAAAAACCAAGACATTCGTATGTGGGGAAGTTGCAATTGCCGCAGAACAATAGAAAGTTGCCTGCTTTTTGCGCGCATTGTTACTTAATATATGTTGGATTTGGCAAGGGTGCATAGGCACTTTAAGTATCCACCAAGCTGTAAAACTTGAAAATGCCATAGAGAACAATTTTTCTCGTCATTATTTTGACTATTTTCGAGTAATTCGATGCGACGATGGTCTGTCATGATCGACCTTAGTTTAGTAGCCAACCAGAAAGCAGGATTTGTGTTAGTCCATAGTTTGATCGATGCTAATACCATTTAGTATAAACATACTAATGGTCTATCACTCATACTGCGCTGTGATTGGCTACTCTACTAATGGTCTAATTTGTGATAGACCACTCGCGGGAAAATCAAAATAAATAAATTATAGATTATAAATCATTTTAAGGATATTTCAATTTTTTTTCATTATTTGACCGGTATAGTATGTTTATACTAAAACAATTAGACCTCTCGGCCTCATGGGCTATTAGCTCGTAGTCCACTCGACCTCGAGGTCTAATTGTTAAGAGTTTAACCACATAGTATACTACATAGTTCCAATATATACTTAATGGGTATTACCGTAGCAAGCAATAAAACTCCATGAGGACCAAATCGTATGGAAACGATTAATTAACGCTAGCCTTTTTAAATTGGCGCATGATGACTTTTGCATGAAATCACTCAAAAATATAATGCGCAAAATGCAGTGTCAAATTATTTTTTGTTTCATCTTAAGGAATACGTCCAGGACGTTGCGCACTGTATGAGAAGCAGCCGAACTGCCCTGTATACACGTGGGACCGATGTTCTTGTGATCAAGACTGTCCTCTCAATATGAAATGTTGTTTTACTGGCTGCAGGAATGTCTGCATATTTCCAGGTATAAGTTTATGTTTATAAACTACGCATTTGCACACATACTGGCAATTTTTCTATAT